ATTATTTATTTATTTATTTGTGCGTGTGATGTTGAAAATTAACATTTTGAGTGGTTCAGTGATTTTGGAGATGTTAAAGCAGTGCTCATTTTCGCTTCTTCCCCTCCAATTAAACATGCTAATCTCCTCTGTTGCAGACCGGATAAGTGGATTTAATTTCTGTATCATATATATGTCTACATAAGAGACTGGTTACTGAAATCCATGAGAGGAGTTCCTTTTTGTCTCAGTTTTAGAAGACACATGATGTGCCATCCACACTACTGGATCCCCAACACCCGTTCTGTTCCAAAAGACCCAGGGAGAGATGGGATGGAGAAATCCACTTAAAATTCCAGGGTGGCTGGTTCTTGAAGGATGGGGGCTCTCAGAAATTCTTGCGTGATGACAGCGAGGCTTTGATGTCAGTGTTTTTGTCTCTGGAGAAGCAGGGCAGGGCTGTCTTGAGACAAGAGGGAAAGATCCTATTCTCTAGAGACACTGATTCACTTTACAGCTCAGACTATACACACAATCATATAGGCTGGGAGTTTTAAAGCACACCATCCGTGTAAATTTGATCGCTTTTCAAAGTCTTGGTGAAGTGATTTATTTAGTTAAGAGTCTCCTTATGGCACACGTCTAGAAGATGCTTGTTAATGCATTTTCCTACCTCTTTTTTTTTTTGTAATTCCTGTATAATTTTCATAGCTTTTATTTATAGCATTTCACCATATTATAAGAAGGTGGCACAGCAGGTTTCTGTCTGATGTTTCTTGGCAGGTTTAGTTTGATGGAGTGGGTGGTTTGGCATTCTCTCTAAAGGATTCAGAGGTGTTTTCATTTAGCGTTTTTCGCCTATTTGCGCTGTTTGCTGTTTTATTGTTAACAATATAAGTTCTGCCACACACATTTATAGAGAACCCCATTTATACAATATTAAACAACAGATTCATCAATGTTTAAAAAATGAAAGTATTTGGGCATGAAATTGAAAAGAAACAAAGGGTCTGTCTCAGAATTAACGGTTTCAGGGTTTCCAATGAATATCTGGATGTATCAGGGAAAATACTGAATTCCAGACCTGGAAAGTCATGCAAAGTCTTAAAAGGTAACGGAAAAATTATAGAAATGTTTTTAGCAAAATCAAATTTGAATACAAAAATCTTATTGTACACTGTTTATACACACACG